ATAATAATTACAATATTATATTATATTATATTATCATATTATTAAAATAATTATAATATTATTATAATATCATATTATATGATAAAATAATAATATTAGAGTTATTAATATAATTATGATATTATTTATTATAATATTAATATTATATTATATTATATTACGAGTCTGAATTTTAGATTGAGAATATTTTAAATTTTAAATTTCATTAGGGGTATTATGGGTATTATGAAAGTTTTATTAATTGTACTATGATGATTCCCGCACAATCTAAAAGCTAAAGTTATCTTTAGACTGCTTCTGATTTTAGCTGTAATTCTTAAAAAATTCTTCAAAAAGCACTTTTGAGGAGATTTATCAAACACTAAAATCAGCTTATGCTACAAGCAGAAGTTGATTTTGAGAAAGAAAAGCAATACCAAACTAAGCCATAATAGCTGAAAGGCACGTGCTTATTTGTATTTGCACGTGCGTGTTTAATTTCTTACATTCTTTTAAATATGTGAATGGATTTCTTTTGAGGTTATTTATTTATTGTTAATTTATTCAAGTTTAAGATATTGTAAAAATAGTGTATTTAAGTAGAATAGATTTAAAGAAAAAATTAGTTACTCAAAATTAAGCAGTGAATTATTAGGAGATACATGAGAAAATAGTATTTGATAGGATAGAGAAAAGAGATCTTTATGTAGGTCATATTTGAGAAAAATTATGTTAGCAACGCAATTACGAAGCAAGGATATACTGTAAAAAAATATTATTGTAGTAGACATAAAAGGGGAAAAAAGAATAAAAAAACCAAAAAGGGGCTAAAAAAAGAAATAACACTAAAAATAAAAAGATGAAGGACTAAAAGGAAAAAGAAAGAAAGAAAAATTAAACGAGAAAGGACTAAAAGACAAAAAAACAACGAAAGATTTAAAAAAAAAGAAAAGAAAAGAGCACTTCCAACCAAAACGAAAGTGGAAGTGTATTTTGACACTTCTAACAAGAAAAACAAGGACGGACTAAAATAATAAATTAAAAAGCCATTTTCGTCAAAAGTAGAAATATACATTTCTAAAAAGAAAAACAAGGAAGGACTAAAAGAGTAAAATAAAAGAAAAAAAATAAAGAAGCACAAAAAAAAAAAGAGAGAGAGAAGAAAGACTAAAAGGTAAAAAGGAAAACCAAGGAAGGTTTAAGAATAAAAAAGAAAAAGAAAAAGAGAAAGAGGAGGGACTAAAAGAGAAAAGAAAAAACAAAGAAGGACTAAAACAAAGGAAAAAAAAAAAGAGTGCGTGCGAGGGCGGTTTTGGAATGGTGGTGGGGTTCGACCAAAATGCCAACGTCGCACTTCTATATATTTAGATTAAATTAAATTAGATAAATAGATGGATATAGACATATAGATAAAATAGCATAAGTATACACACACACCAAAAAAAAAAAAAAGCCTTTGTGTGTTCTACCAAAATTTCACTTTTGATCTTCTTACTGTGTAAGTACCCAAAATACTTGTTGTGTTTATAAAAATTAGACTCAAAATATTCCTTAAAGCAATTTAATTTTTGAAAATGTCAAGATTACCCTTCTCAATTTATATTAAATGATTATATGTTAACTAAAAAATTAAATAAAAATTTATAAAAATGTTCAAATAAACATTCCAAAAGAACAGATACTTCAATTCACTTCAAAAAAAAAAAAATACTTCAATTATTTGTAGAGTTTTTCATTTTTAAGATCGATTTAATTAATATGTTGGTTTGCTAATATTTTAAATTTTATTTAATAATGATTTGAAAGGGGAATTAATCTTGATATTTTTAATGATTTAATCGATTCAAGGGTATTTTCGATCTGATTTTTTAAACATGGGATGTTTTGGAATTTGCATAATATAAAAAGAGCGAAAGTGATATTTATGCCAAACTGATCAGGTGGTGTTTTTTTTTTTTTTGTTGTTGAAAAAAGTGCTGTTTTTGGGTATTATCTGGATAAATATATAGCTATTTTATATGCATAATGCGCCATGACAATTATTACGTATCTAAGAAGCCAACTAATTTTTTGACGAAATGAATGATACGTTGCAATTACGTCAAGTGCTCGGCTGTTAAAAGTTGGAAAGTAAAGCGACATCCCACCGACTCCTATTTCATTTTTTTTTTATTTTTTATATTTTCCTTGTATATAATCTTCATCATCTTCGTTTTTCTTTTTTTTTTCTTTTTTTTTTTCCTTTCTGTGGTGGGGGATTTAAATCGTCAAACCTTGGGAACCCATATTTATACCTCAACAAAGGAATATAATTAATTATTAAGGAAGCCGAAAAGCTCAAAACAAGTTTCAAAAATCTCTTTAAATCAACTTAAACCACCTTGATATATATATATATATATATAAAGTTTACATGGTTAGCACCATGGAAGGGAAACGTCAACGTTATATCCATGAGAAAGAAGAAGAAGAAGAAGAAGAAGAAGAAGATTTGGAAGAGTTTGGTTTGACTTATAATTTACAGAGCGTGAAAATAAAAAAGAAGCTTCTTGTTTTGGATGTCAATGGATTACTTTGTCAAAAGATCTTCCGTTATGACAAAGCCAAGTTACCAAACTCTTCCTCTGTTCCCGTTATAGAATGTGGAAGCTTTTTAGGTCAGCAAATTAAACTGCCTTTTTTTTTTTTTTTTGGTTTTCTTGCTATGTTATTTACAATTTTTTTTAGTTAACGATATTATTATATGTCTCTACATCTAACTTCTCTTTGTCAGTTTACAATTTTGGTTTTTTGGTTTTCTTGCTGTGTTATTTACAACTTTCAGTTTTAACAATCTTATTATATGTCTCTAAACCTAATTTCTCTTTTGGCAGTTTACAAAAGGCCTTATTGTGACGAATTCATGAACTTTTGCTTGGAAAGATTTGAAGTAGGAATATGGTCCACTGCAAGAGAGTGAGTAGTTAACATATTACATATAATCTTAAATCATTTTCTTTCTATTTTTGTATTAATTTCGTTCTGTATTCAAGAATCTAAACTCTCTCATTATAATTTCTTCTTTTTTTTTTTGTATTTTTTCTTTAGAGGGAACCTTAACAGTGTGTTGGATTGCATCATGGAAGGGCTGAAAAGCAAGTTGTTATTTGTTTGGGTTAGTACTAATCATATTCTCTTTTTTTTTCCCCCCGAAATTTTTTTTAAATTATCATAACTATTTTCCGTTTTATCTTTTATTAGATTAAAGAAAGAGGAAATTAGTGAAGTGGGTGTTATTTGGATTATTCAAATATTTGATTAATGGTGTGCATTCCTAAATTCTTTATTAGGACCAAAGCCATTGCACTAGCAGTGGATTTTATACTTTGGAGAAGAAAGGGAAACCAATTTTTCTCAAGGACTTGAAGAAACTCTGGAAAAACATAAATGCCATTCTTCCAGAGAGCAAAGGGCAATTTTCTAAATCCAACACTCTTTTGATAGACGACAAGCCTTACAAAGCGCTTCTTAATCCTGTAATGCATTTTTTGTTTTTATCTTTTATGAACAAGATAATTGCAAAGTTTGAATTCGAGTTTATTACGTTTGAAATTGTATTCCACTTTATTTAATTTAGGGATTTTGTGTTTGGTCTCACGTGTGTTTATTTCAGCTTCACTCTGCAATATTTCCTGATGAATATAAGGCAGATAATGTTGATGACGCTTCTCTAGGTGAGTTTAAATAACTTGGACTATATATTTTACGTTATTACTTCAAAAAAAAAAAAAAAGATGCTTTGGGTCTTAATGCAGTGAATAGCAACTTTCTGAAAATAATTGCAACAAATTGTAGGTTTTGAAATTAATTGTAGTAAATATAATGTTTTGTACTCACCAAAAGAAAAAAAAAAATTTACATGAGACAAAATAGTGACGACGACAACGGGATTAATTCGAGAAAAGAAAAGATGCAGGGGCATTTTGGGAATTTTTGAATTTTTTGTGTGTAAGATATGTTATTATCCCCAATTTATGCTCTTAATTTTTATTCTTCTCACAAAATATATGTATTATTTCGCTAATTATTCTACTTAATATTATGATGTAATTAATCAGGTCCCAAGGGTGAGCTAAGACTCTACTTGGAAGAACTGGCGGATGCAGATAATGTTACTTGTTTTGTAGAAGAACGCCCATTTGGGCAGCCTCCCATAACGCCTACTCATTCACAATGGGATTTCTATTCCAAGATTGTGCATCATTTTCAGAAGAGTAGTTGAATCTTTTTCCTAGATTGGTTTAGTCTATGTTAATCAGTGGATTTATATTTCTAATTTTATCTTCTCATTTGCAATAGTGGGGGGTAACGACATTTTATATATATATATTTTTACATGAAAGTTTTGTTGTAGGAAAATATGAATTGGGTTTGTTTCTTATCCATAGTTCTGAAATTGCTTGCAAACCGAAAACAAGGCAAGGAATAACTCGTTATCACTACAACATAAACGATAATTAACGGCGTCGGTTTTGTACTGATCACGTCGTATTTTTTACAACTGTTCTTGACAAATGACGAGTATCGGTTAGGTCAACAACCTTGTTGTAGAAATATTTTTGATAAACTTGATCAATAATTGACGTCAAAGATATTTAAAAAAGTTGGTTTTAGACTAGGGTTAAATGTTGTTGAGCTTCCTCTGCCAACAAATGTCCTGTTTCTTTTCTACTGCTTTTACTCCCAAAGCGAATTCAAGGGTATCACAGGGAGGTTTGCTGACCTAGTGGCTTATGAAATAATTAACCTTCCTTGGAATGATATCTTATTGAAGAAAAGATCAACCTTAGGCTGCATGGTTAAGCTTTCCTGTTTGGCTTTGCGCTTAAGGATGGTTATTTTCCGTGGTTGTCGTTTGAGATATCTGCCATCGCCTTCCTAGAAAGACAACAGTTTAATCGTTCTAAAAAAACGAGTGGAGGAATCCCGCGTTGGATTTTGTTCGAAGGTGGTGAGTTGCAGCGGAGTAAGCCATCTACAAAATGTCTGTAGACTTAGGCAATCACTGTCTAGGGCCAAAATTATCCAAAATGCTGCTCGAGGGTGTCACAGTTGAAAGCTCTCTTTAGTCGGGTTTTTGGAGGAATAAGGTCTAACCATGGAGGCCATTAGGGTACAACCTTCCGTGCTGTAAACTTTTTTAAGAAAGAAAAATGAAAAAAGTACACTTTTTATTTTGTGGAATTGAAAATTGGAAGAAAAAATGTGTTTATTTCATTCAAAATCAATGCCCAAACTCTTTCTCCCTCTAATCACCTTCTTTGAACCATTCTCTCTCTGAAGAAAAAGTTGGTCATTAGATTTCAATACCAGTGAGTAATTCTTCATTGATTTTGTGACGCTTTGTGTGCCTTCCCATGGGATTCTTCAGAATGGCACTTCTTTTGGAGAATACGTCATTTTGAAGGTTTTGCATATTTTTGCACAAGAACAGGAGGAGTGTTGGGGAAAGGGGTCGCATAATTGTGTTGAGGTGCAATTGATCTTGGCGGATCCAACAAGTGTATTCCAGGTTCTCCGACTGTTGTTGGCGCCTTCAGTTGGTGGTAGACATGGTTTGAAGCCGTCAAGAAATCCAAGTAGATAATATACAATGAAAAGAGTCTGAAATCTAAGTTTTCAAGAAACATAATTAATGGTGATTAACATAAGCGGCGCTCGAGCAACTACGTTGATGGAGCTGAGGGTGTTGGAATTCTCAAGTGGATTCATGACTAGGGGACGAGATGAGGCAGAAAGAGTTGGAGCAGCCATGGTCACAAGATCTTGATATAAAAAATAATAATAATAACAAAATAAAATTGGCCGTGCTCAGGAGTGGAGATCGGTGCTAGGGTTGCAATTATCGGTAAGTCACTCAAGGACGGACTTTCCAATAACCAAAACTCTTGCCTCGGCACTCGCTCTATACATTAGGACACTAACTTAAGCATTGGAGTGCCCTTTGCAGACACCCTGTCGTTGTCCCCCTTACTCCAAAGTTTGTTCATCCTCTGCAGGCCAACTTAGGCAGAGTCCTTGTCCAACTACCATGCGTAGCCGCATGTAATGTTGTGCTACTTTCCGACATCAACAACACCTATAACCAACCAGCCAAACCAAATTGTCCAAATATACATGATGAAGTTTGATTTGATTTTAGTTAACAATTTCAAACCGACCAAACCAACCAAAAATATATTAACATTTTCAGTTTGGTTGGTGGGTTTTTCCTTCAAACCGATCATGAACACCCCTATCTCAATATGTGGTTATTGTTTCAATAATAGTGACATGTAACATTTTTCTTAAAGATAGAACACTACTATTCATCATCACTACTAATAGTACTACAAGTATATTAGTAAAAAGAGATCATGCTATTTTCTAACAAAAGGTAAAGAAAGGCAAAGATCAACAAAATATGCTACGACTTGAAACTCTAAGATGGATTACTTGCGTCAGACCACGTTTCATTCCCACACAATAAAAGCATACATGGAAAGCATAGAAAATTGCTACAAAAAATATTCACAAGCCCAGCCCTTTTCCTCTCCTCACACCCCAAAGCAAGGAAAAGTAATTATTCCATCTTAGCATGCGAAGATTACAAGTCTTCTCTACATTGCATACAAGATGCGAAACCACCGTTGTCCAACCATGCAGAAATCCATGATTTGATGTTCTGCACTGCGATCATGTGACCAAGTTGAACATATCAGATGATGAATTGCAGAGAGGCCAAATATCTTCCCCAGACCAACAAATAGATGTCATACAAATGACATTAATTGATGACAGTAGGAATTTTTGCAAAGCAAAGGTTGAAGTTCAGGGGAATCGTGTCGAAAATTCAACTAGCTTAAGGACTAGCGAAAAAAATAAGATTAGCATAAGGGTGTTAAAAATACTAGGAGTTCCGTTAGAGAAGTTAACAATTGATGGCAGGTAAAATGCCTAATAAAGAAAATGACAAATAGAAAGGTTGAAGATAAATAGTAAATTGAACATGAAGCTGAAATGTTCGTTGCTCATTGTATGTGTTGCAAAGCATATCTGCGGAAACAAGATAAAAGGAAATTTCAATCTTGCACTAACATACCACAACCGCTCCTTTCTTTGGCTTCAGTGACCAAAACTGGGGGCATGAGTAGGACGCAAAATGCTCCACAAGAAGAAGGAAGATTTTGTAAATTAAGTTCCAACATAGATAAAATAAGGATTTAGAGCTTCTTTGGTAGGAGGGACAAGTGGAGGGAGGGAGGGGTGAGGGCATTAGTGGAAGGATTTTGGGGCCTATGGTCATTTGGTAGAGAGAAAAGAGGATGGAATGGATTGGGCAAGGCATTTCCAATCCAGCAAAGAACGCAGGGAATCCATATCAAACACAATAAGAGCATGGTTTGACCCTTCCTCTCCATTCTCCTCACCTAGCTTATATACCTTTTGTTCCTTCCTATTCTCTTTCCC